TTATATATTCTAACTAATTGTTGCATCTATATAGAAAAGTTGTTGATTTCTGTATATTAATTGTATACCCTGACACCTTACTGAATTTTCCTGTTGTTGGTATTTTAAAAATTGTTTATGATGAGGCTGCGCACAGTGGCTCATACCTGTAATCCTGGCACTTTGGGATGCTGAAGTGGAGGGATTACTTGAGCCCAGGAATTCAAGACCATGGCAAAAACCTGTCTCTACTAAAAATACAAAAATCTGCCAGGCATGGTGGTGTACGCCTGCAGTCCAAGCTACTTGGGAGGCTGAGGCACAAGAATCACTTGAACCTGGGAGGCAGAGGTTGCAGTGAGCCGAGATCGTGCCACTGCACTCCAACCTAAGTGACAGAGTGACACTGTCTCAAAAAAAAGTTTCTGATGAATTTTCCAGATAAATACTCCTATCATCTATACATGGTGAGAAGGTATCCCCTTCTTCTAATGTTTCCATCTTTATTTTATGTTTCCATCTTTATTTTGTCAAATTGCACTATTGCTTTCAGAACAATATTAAACATTAGTAAGGAAAGTGAGCACCTTTGCCTTGTTCTGGATTTTAATGGGTATACCTCTAGTGTTTTGCCATTAAGCACAATATTGGCTTTTGACTTAAAAAAAAAAAAAAGTCTGATGATGATATTATGGAAATAGACATCTTTTTCTATTAGTTTTTTTTTTTTAATCTGGAAATGATGTTGAATTGTTATCAAATACATTTTAGCACTAGGGAAATTGTTATATGACTTTTATTCTTTGATTTATTAATGTTGTCAATTATATCAATAGATTTTCTATTACTGAACCAGTCTTATATTTCTAGGATGAACCCCATCTGATCATGGTGTATTATATTTCTTAACATCTCTTAGATTCTGTTTGCTAATATTTTATTTAAGATATTTAATATGTTTTGCATCTATATTCTTAGATGAGATTGGTCTCTAATTTGCTTTTCTTTTATGTTTGCTGGGCTTTACTATCAATATTATGCAGGAATCTTTTCTTCTCTCTATTCTCTAGATTTCCAGAGTCTAGAAAGTACAAATAACATTTGTTTGATTTTATTCCTTGAAGGTTGGTAGAATTAACATGAGACCATGTGATTGTGCTATTTTTTGATCAAATTTATCATTTTTTTTTCCTATGGTAACTTGTGGGTTTATAAATTCTCATTCTTCCTCAATCAGTTTTGGTAATATTTGTCTTAATAGAAACACACTTTAAGTTTTCAAATTTGTTTTATGGGGTAGAGCAAAATATTCTCTTATCCTTTTTATTTACTCTGTAACTGTGGTTATTTCTCCATTTCTAATTTTGCACATTTGGATGTTTTTAAATTAGATTAGCAAGTGGTTAATCTGTTTCACTGTTTTATATTTTCTTTTGAGGAATTGGTTTTGGCTTTAATTATTAGTTCTATAATTTGTTTTCTAGTATGTTAATTTCTGCCATTAGTTTTATTATCTGCCTTGTTTTAGGTTTATTTTTATGATTTTTATGATTATTGTATTCTTTTGTTGAATACTTAATTCATTTATTTTGATTTGTTCATATGTACTAATATAAGTATTTAAGGCTACAAGTTTTTCTTTTTCTTTTTTTGAGACAGAGTCTTGCTCTGTCACCCTGGCTGGAGTGCATTGGCACGATCTCAGTTCACTGCATCCTCCGCCTCCCAGGTTCAAGCACTTCCCCAGCCTCAGCCTCAAGAGTAGCTGGGATTACAGGCGCCCGCCACTACATCCAGCTAATTTTTGTATTTTTAGTAGAGACAGAGTTTTACCATGTTGACCAGGCTGGTCTGGAAATTTTGGCCCCAAGTGATCCGCCTGCCTCGGCCTCCCAAAGCAGGGATTACAGGTGTGAGCTGCCACACCTGGCCTACAAGTTTTTCTTTGACTACTGCTTTAGTCAACCATATCCTCTAGCTTCTGATATTTCCATTGTTGTAATTTAATAGGTATTCAACAATTTCAAATTAGATTTTCTCTTTGACTAAAGTAGATTTTTTTCTCTGTTTATTTTCTATATACTGAAGATTTTTTTTTCATTTTGTTATTAATTTCTAATGTTACCATATTGTCATTAGAGAACATGGTCTGTACTACTTCCATTTTCTGGCTCAGTAGATAGCCAATTAAAAATATACTCAATGGGTCCTTGATAAAGAAAAATATATAGTCTGTTTCAGTATAGGAAGAAATTTAGATTTTCTCATTATCTTAGTTTTTGACTGTCATGATCTGTCATCAGCTGGAACAGTCTCATATTTTGTTTCTACTTTTTTTCTACCTTTGCATTTGCTATAGATTTTGCTTTAAGAATCTTTATGCTATGTTTTTTGGTGAATAAAAGATGAGAGGAAGTAGATCTTCATCATGTGTTCTAATTAACATTACAGTGCCCTTCTTTATCTTATTGTTTTTTGCTTTTAATTCAACTTATGAAATGAGTGTCATAATTTATTTTTTCTTTAATTTTGACATTATTTCCTTTATTAAACATGTTTATTGAACACCCACTGTGTGCCAGGCACTAGAAACCTATGAATGAGACAGACAAGATCCCTGCCCTCATGGAGCTTACATTTTAGTTAGAGATTGGAACAGAAAATAATCAAGTAAAAATAGGTATGTGATACGATATCAGGTGGGGATGAAGATGAATACCAAATAACAAAGTAGAATAAGGATGATTAAATATAAGTTGTGCCGAATTTAGGTAAAGTAGTCAGGAAAGGCTTCTCTGCCTGGTACATGTTTGTCATTTTTTTACTTTCCACTTGTCCATCACCTTTTGTTTTTGTTTTGGTGTTTTTTTGTGAGGGAATATGCAATGTGGAACAGTTTGAACACAAGGCATTGTTATAATCGTAATGAACTATAAGTGTGCAAAAGCCCAAATAAGAAGATAATCGGTATGTCTGGATATGAATCTCTGATCCACATGAGTGGTGAGCTAACCAGAATGGGGGCTGGATAAGATGGGAATGAAGGACATTTTGTCTTCCATTCTGTCTGAATTTGGCTATCATTATGTGTATTATTATTTTTTAAAGAAATATTTCTAATCTTCATCATGATTATTGAATGGATATTCTGTATGATGATTTAATTGAGCCCCTGGAATTTCCTGTCACTGGGCAAGACTTAGCATGATGCTGATTACTCACAGGCTACAGCAGGAAACCACATCTTGTGGCTTAGAGGGCTTAACTCTTTATACCCTGAGGCTAAAGAGACGTCTTTTAACTTTAGTCACTCTTTATTATACAGAGGTTTGACTTTTTATGTATATTCAAATAAACCTGGACTTATTTTCCTTGGAGGTTTTCTTCTATTGCTTATGAGAGTCTTATTTCACCTCACGATGATAGTCTTTTAAATTTTCTGATTGGTTTTTCTTATGTTATATACGTGTGTAGTATATACACATATAACATATATATTAAAATTATACACACATACACACACACACGTATATCCATGACTCTTGATTTGGAATTTATTTTGGTATATAATATATGATGTAGCTCCAAAAAGCACTACTTTACAGTTATCTCAAAAACATTTATTGAATAATATTTCTTTATCTCCTTTTTGGGGGAAGATTATGTATATGATATTTTTATAGGTAGTCTGCTTTGTTTCCGAACTTTCTATTCTGTTTGGTTGATCAATAACACATTGTTTTAATTGCAATTATTTTATGATATACTTTATTCCTTACTTGCCCCTTTCCTCATTTCTTCATTTCTATAGCAGAATATTCTTTAATATTATATCATGTTTTTATTACAAGTTAATTCTCTAAAAAATCGTAGTTAGATTTAGTTAAAAATTTCTATTGATAATTCTGATTGGAATTGCCTTAGAAGGAGGGTTTTTTTTTTTTTTTTTTTGAGACAGGTCTTACTCTGTTACCCTAACTGGAGTACAGAGGTGCAATGATGGCTCACTGCAGCCTCAACCTCTTAGGCTCAAGCTGTCTTCCCACCTCAGCCTCCCAAGTAGCTGGGAATAAAAGCATGCATCATCATGCCCAGCTAATTAAAAAAAAAAAAATTAGAGACAAGGTCTTACTATGTTGCCCAGGCTGATCTTGAATTCCTGGACTCAATCACTGATCCACCCACCTCAGCCTCTCAAAATTCTTGTATTACAGACATGAGCCACCGTGCCTAGCCAGAAGGAAATATTTTAAATCCCAAATAGCAGATAACTATGACTTGTTTGGTGTTTTTTATTACAAGTATAAAAACATAAAAAGTATATATATCTAATTCATAATACAGGTTGCATGTAGAGAGGCAGTAGGGTAATGGAAGTGAGGAGTTATGTGAAGGATATTATTTCTTAAGAAAAATCCATGAAACATAAATGGCAAAGTATTCAAACTTACTAAGTGTGGGTGATAGGTAGCAGCATGGGTATCATGGCTATCAATCTCTGTATATCTCTAAATATTTGAAATTTTTATAGTGAAAAGCAAACAAAAACAACAGATGAGGCAGGATAGCCAGGCTTGGAAACCCTAGAAGACAGCACATGCAATCTGACTGCTATAAACAGACTGGGATGGTGTGTGTATATCCAGACTTTGGAGCTAAACTGTTCAAATTCTAGCTCTACCACGTGCTAGCTTTATGACCCCAGGCAAGTTACTTCAACTTTCTATGCCTCAGTTTCCCCAACTATAAAATCAGTGCAATAGTAATAGCTACCTCCTAGGGTTATTGTGAGGAATAGATAAGACATGGAAACCATTTAAAACAGTGCCTAGCATTTAGTACATGTTCAGTAAGTGTTAGCTATTATTATTATTGTATTATTATTACTATTACTATTACATTTACTACACATATTAAATTGTTTTGTGGACATTTTAAATTTTATATAAATGTTGTCATCTAAAATACGGGCCTATCTGCAACTTGCTTGTTTTTCTCAGTAGTCATCTGATGTTTTGCAGGGAGACGGCTCATTCCAAAACTAGCTTTTCGTGGGCAACCCCTTCCCATCCTTGCCTTGAGAACCCATCGCTGGACTTGTCAAGCTACCGGGCAATTTCTTCTCTCGACCTCCTTGGAGACTTCAAACATGCTTTGAAAACATCAGAGGAAACTTCAGTATATGAGGAGGGGAGCTCCCTTGCCTCCATGCCCCACCCATTGCGCAGCCGTGCCTTCTCAGAGAGTCACATCAGCTTGGAGCCCCAAAGCACCCGGACCTGGGGGCAGCATAGGAGGGAGCTCTTTAGCAAAGGTGATGAGACCCAGCCGGATCTTCTTGGAGCCAGGAAGAAGGCCTTTCCTCCTCCTCGCCCTCCTCCTCCCAACTGGGAAAAGTACAGGCTCTTTCGTGCAGCCCAGCAGCAGAAGCAGCAACAGCAGCAGCCACAGCAGCAGCAGAAACAACAAGAGGAGGAGGAGGAGGAGGAAGAAGAAGAAGAGGAGGAGGAGGAGGAGAGAGAAGAGGAGGAAGAGGAGCTGCCACCCCAGTATTTCAGTTCAGAAACCTCTGGCTCCTGTGCTGTCAATCCTGAGGAGGTCCTGGAGCAGCCGCAACCCCTAAGCCTTGGCCACATGGAGGGCTTAAGACAGGGTTCACAAAGTGTCCAAGCAGAGCAAGAATCCTTTGCACACCATTCCAGTGATTTCCTGCCTCCAATAAGGGGGTACTTGGGATCTCAACCTGAGCAGGCTCAGCCCCCTTGCTACTATGGCATTGGTGGGCTTTGGAGGACATCAGAACAGGAAGCCACCGAATCCCCCAAGTAAGTACATGCGAAAGACACTAGGTCCCTGAAGAGGCAGGCAGCACAAGTTTGAAGTTTACCTCCACAATTTACTAACTGGATGACCTCAGTCTGGTCAATTAAATTGCTCCCAGCCTCAGTTTCCCTACCTGGAAAACGGGTATAATGATACCTCCTCCACATCATTGTGAATATTAAGATAATCTACATAAAGGATATAGCTCCATACTTAGCACATAGTAGGTGCTCAGTAAATATCATGTTCTTATCCCTAAATATCATTATTAATGTACTGTATTTTTCCTTCATGTGTCTTTATCGTATCCATCAGTTTCTGGCCCCTGATCTTAAAGGCATTGAACACTTGTTGCCAGTATTAGGTCTTTCCCAGAAACCTGGCTCAGGCACTTTTTCTGCCTTCTTTTCTGCTTACCCTCCAGAATAAGAGGCCAGCTCACAAGCTGACCTACCTCTACTCTAGGACAACAAGCCTGGACTTCTAAACTCACTCCCCCGTCCACACACCACAACCCCCAACATCAAAAGTATTCCTGGGGCTGGGTGCTTCATGCCTTGATAATCCTTACAACAGTTAAGGACTTTCTTTTTCTCTTCTACTTTCACCCCCTCCTTGTTTACCTGCCTCTTTGCATTCATGTGGGTGGGTAATAAGTGGTAGCTGACAGGGTGAACTGCCTAGGCAGGGAGTGTGTTCTGGCAGCAGGACTGCCAGCGTTTATTCACTCCACAGAGCCAGTTGTCATCGGCATGCCCTACAGTGCATTTTTATTTATTATTATTATTTCTTTTGCTCCAAAGCAAAAGCCCCAGGGCCATCATCTCTATTATTTGCTCAGTGCTCTGGCTGTCAGCAGCTCTGCCTGCTCTCCTGTGAAGAGCTCAGCCTACTCTCTGCTGAGGCTGGGGAGGCAGGTGGCTTCTAACTGCTTTTTTTTAACTCCCTTTATAGCAGGAATTTTCCTGAGACTTGTTGCAGGTACCTTGTTATCATGTATTTTATTGACAGGCAAATCTGTGACTTGGCTATCTGGAGCTGGCTGATCAGTTTTCCAGCTTAAGATGCCATAAGCACCACATTTACAGGGTGGGCCTGGTTCCCAGGCACTGTAAGAATCCTCCATTAGATCTCTTGTGGCTGCTTCTCAAGCTGATCTTCTACCTGGGGAGCATTCTTATTGTAATGAGAAAACATTTTGTGAAAAGTACCTGTGATTGTTATCTATCATAGCAGAGAAAAGGGAAAATGACCTCCAAATAGTAGGCACTTAACAAATATTTAAGAAGAAAGAGCAAATAAATGAATGGATGAACATTTATTAAGTATTTATTATATATCAGACACTGCTAGACATTATATGTCCATTATTTCATTTAATCCTCCCAATAGCCGTATTGGCCATTATTATCCCCATTTCACAGCTGAGGAAATGAACTAATTCCAAGTTACACAGCAAAGATGCAAAGCTAGAGCTGTCTGACTCCAAAGCCTATGCTTATTTTGCCTTCCTAGTCAGCCTCTTCCAGAGACATCTTGTTCTTTCTGTAGGCCAGGAGTCACAGGGTCCTCTCCTCTCCTGTAGGGCAAGGTGTATCAGAGGCAGCATTAACAGACCCTGGTTTTTCCTTCTTTATGTAGCTCCATTTGCCTTGGCACCTTGGCCAGACAGAAAGAAATCACTATTACTAAAGATCTTGTAAATTGCTCCAGAAATTTATTTCTAATGACTATGGGATATAACGGAAAACATTTGTGTGCACACAGCTCTGCTTGTATCTACAAAATAAATTAGATGCTTCTTTGAGTGATAGAGAGTTAAGGAACAGCATCGTTACCAACATAGCTAATATTTCTTTTTAACTACTTACTATGTGCTATGCATTGTTCTAAGTACTTTTGTGTATTAATTTAATCATCAAAGTAAACTTATGAAATAGCCATTCATCTTCTCCATTTCTTAGATGAGAAAAGCGAGGCCCAGGGAGATAAAGTAACTTTATCACAAGATCACAGGTACCTACTGTGCTTGCTCTATCATCCCAGGGTCTCTGGGCTCTTGAAGAAGATTCTATTCCAGACCCTAGGAGAGGACAGTGTCCTAGCCAGAAGGAAGCAGCTTTAAGATTTTGTAAGGGACATATAGATGCATAATATGTTGAATCTAAAATGCAAACAAAGACATCTTAATTTCAGCCAAGTTAAACTGTGGTACCTCTATAACCTACTTACTTTTCCATTAAAAAATGCTGGGATACACACAGAAGCCAGCTAGTTGAATAATCAAGGATTATTTAACTCTAATAACTCTGATTCAAGTATATGTATAGCTTGCTTTATGGACTCTGCATTTCTTCTCAGTGCTCTGTGAAAGGAATCTGATTTTTGCTTTGGTGTTTACTATTAAATTCCAATTATATTCTCATAGATCACCTATAATCCTTTCCCTGTTAATGGAGGTGATAAGGGAAGGATCCCTAGAATATAATGCCTAATATGATATACTATAATATGATGCAGGGATGTGTATGCTGGAGAACGGAGTCTCCAATTAGCACATCCTTTTTTTTTTCCTTTATAATACTTTCTGACACAAAACTTTCACATGTACCCTAAATATTTTCTTGTATATAGGAATTCCCTAAGTTCATATTCCCTCCAGAATATTCTCTATTATCTGCTAACATAGATATACTCCAGCCAGAAAATTCCTTACATGTAAGCTTTTATATGACGTCAAGTTGTCCCTTTGGCAGTATAACATAGTGGCTAGAAGCACAGATTCTAGAGTAAGGTTGTCCAGTTGGAAATCGCAGGTCTGCCATTTAATGTCTGGTGACCTTGGAGAAGTCACTTTACTTCTTGGTGCCTCATGTTCCTTATCTGTAAAATGGTTTTCATGAGCATTCAATTATATATTTATATACCTATGTGTGTGTGTTTCTATCTTAGGATGGTTTCTGGGGTATGGTAAGTACGGTGTGCACGTTAGCTGGTATTGTTCTTTTATCAGTGTTACAAGCTTGAAACTTACATATAAATGAATTTACCTAGGATGAAGAATATTGGTATGCCCAAATTTCTTCTGTGTGATGAATTAGGAGACAGCATAGCATGAATCAGTAAATAGCTGTGAAGCTTTTTAACCATTATTTTTGACCTTTATCTAAGAACTGCAAATAGCTGCAAAAATGACTAATGAGTTTCTCTTTTCCCTTTCGAACAGCTAGAGGTTAGCGAAGGGGCAGTGCTATAGACAGGTGGAGGGTGGGAGTGGCTGCCAGGCAACAAGAATATAGTGAGAATGGATCATCCCCTAGCATAAACCATGGACAAAATCATTTGTCCTTCCATCACTGAAACCTGACATTGTAGCATTTCTCTCTACTTCCTTCCTCACACCAGACCAGAAGATGTGATGGCAGAAGAGGCCAAACCTAAGGCAGCATGGATCCAGAACTACATTTTTTTCTGAGGAGAAGTTCTCTTTCATGGGCTGAGGCTCTGAGAAGCAACTCCTCAGCCCCACAGGCTTTGGTGAACCCAAGACAATAGGGTCTGCTGCTACACTTGTGAAGCCCCTAGGTGCCACTGTTTCCATTTTTTCCCCCATTTCATTCTACAACCATGGAGGAGGCTGGGGCCATTGGGAATATGCCAAAAGTGGAGAGATGCGATCCCTTCTCAGGCTGAAGGTCTGCCCTATAGCAGGCAATGTCAGAAGATCTCATGAGAGATGTGGTGGGCCGTGACAAGTCCCTGGCAGGGGTTCTTAACATGGTAACCACTGTTGAGGTCATGGGTGACTCTTTGCCGTGGGAGATCTGCAGCAGAGGGTCCATTTCAAGCAGGAGTGGCATTGGAAAAGAAGAAATGATGAGAGTGTCCAGGAAAGCCACAGGGTGCCTTTGTAAGCAAGCAGACTAGATAGAGCCAGTATGGGTGAAGGTCCAGGGGTAGATCTGAGGGAGGCCAACAGGTTTGGAGAACCCCATAGCTAAGGTCTCAGGTACTTCTCTACCACCTAGCCCCTACTTTGAGATCCACATACTGGGGCCGTGAACCAAAGGGATGATGATCAGAAGCGCAGAACTTTTAGAGCCTGCTAGTTTTTCTGGATTTTAATTGAGTGTTAGTGACAAAACCAAATTATCTTGAAAGAAGTCTCCCTAGCTGGTGAAGTCATGGGCACGGCAATAGTCTTCTGAGTTCTTAAAATTTGCCTTTACCTAACTCCAGTTTGCCTTCATGTGGCCTGTTTACATTTGAACAGTGTCTTTCTTGTTCATTTGTTTTTCAGCTCCTTGGTGAAGCAGGGTTCCATTTTTCAGATGGAAAAGTTAAAAAGCAGAAATGTTAGCAGCCTCTCAACAGAGGTGCTCAAATGGTCATTCTTTGTTTCCACAGACAAGAGTTTCAGCACTTTTCGCCTCCTCCAGGGGCCCCAGGAATCCCTACCTCTTACTCAGCTTATTACAATATTTCTGTGGCCAAGGCAGAGCTGCTGAACAAACTGAAAGATCAACCCGAGATGGCAGAGATTGGCTTAGGAGATGAGGAAGTTGACCATGAACTGGCTCAAAAAAAGGTAAAGTTTTTTGATGTGTCCTAGAGATTTTCACAATTTAGCTTGAATGTGTCTGGAGGATGACCAACCTTCTACACTCTCTAGAATATCTCACATTCCCATATTTTCAGTATGGAAATCGTACAGCTTCTCTGGGTTTCTCACAGTTCCAAGTCCACTCTATTTTTGATCCAGTCACTAATAATAATAGTCATAATCATCATTATTGTCTCTGTGATCCTTAGAACAGCCCAACAAGGTAGATTGGGTATTTTTAATAGTTGAAGGGACTAATTTGCCCAGGTGCAGACTAAATGGTAGATCCAGCACTTGAAGTCAAGACTGTCTGAATTTCTACTCTACAGTACATGCTGTCTCTCTGAATTGAGCCAGCCTTGTAATTAACTCACTACTCAGGACACATTAGAGCTTCTGCCAGTGGGCTCTTGTACCCAATGGCAGTGCCATTGATTTTTATTCTTTGTGCAACTTCCTGGGAGACAGAACAGACTAAGTAAAATAAGGACAAATTATAGGCTGGCAAACTTTAGTGTTTATTTGCAAAGATAGTCAATTATGTCTTAAAAACACAAAATAGTTAAATGGGGATGATGATGATGTTGTTGTTCCAAAGCTTTCCTTTCTTTGTCTGAGTACCACTAGTCTGGTTTTCTAATGAATTCCTGGAATTACTTTGCCCTCCCTGCACTTACCTATTGTATTTCATAAGCAAATAGGGTTGTCATGGCAACCTCAAAGGCTCAATTTGCCTCTTTGCGGACATCTGAACTCAATGTAAATTGTTCTTCTGCCCATACTTCTTTCAGAACATGACCTGTAGGAAGGTACAGGGCCATATGCAAGAGCCTTTCTTCCAATTTCCTATCTGAAGCAAAATGTCAGGGGAAGAATTGGAAGCATGATAGTGTTGAAGTTTTATTGATTCAGATATCTGTTTCCTTGGATTCCATGTTCTGTGAGCATGGCAGGGGTACTCCTAGCTTACTCATGGCCTGGCCTCTGCACGGGCAAACCTAATAAAAAAAAACTCTGACCAGGAAAAGAAAGAGATGATCAGAAATGGCAGAGCACAGAACAACAGAAAGTGACTTGAAGTGATTGTGGGTGGGCTACGACACTTTGTCTCTGAGGAAGAAAGGTGAGGGATGTCACCAATTTGCAATGTCCCAGAAAAAACAACTTAGCTCTGGCTGGATCTGTGATGACTCCACAACTCTATCCAGTACACTTCTTCAGGATTGAGGTTCAGGTTGTAGAGCACAAGTCCCAAGAAATAAAGCGCCCTCACCACTTATCCTTCCATCTATCCCTGGAGCCTGGGAACTGGGGTTGGTAGGTGATTTTCCAAGTGGGTCATTTTCCAGATGGCCCCTGGCCATCCTTTGTCCCCAGCATTGACTTTTGTTTGGGAGAGCAGATGGTGGGAATATAACTGGCAGCCTTTTAGCATCTAATTGTGTTGCCTCCTTCATATCACTGATACCCAGTTCCCAGTGGGTTTTGGAATTTTTCCTAAATGCATATCCATTATACTTCAGACTGAGATTATAATGATCTCCTGACTTTTGAAGGGTTCTAAAATGTGACAACAGGTCTTGGAGCCTGGAGAAGGCTCTCTTAGTCCTGGTCACTTTGGACATCTCTAAATAAACTACTAGAGAGGAATATATTCTAGAAAACTACAAGCCTATGGTCCCTGTGCTTGGACTAGAAAAAGATTAAAACATACATTGAAGGATATTCCTATGTACAAGATAACTATTCTAAACATGTAACATGTGTTAACTTATTTAATTCTCATAACAATTCCGTGAGGTAGGTCCTATTGTTATCCTATTTTTTTGATGTGGAAATTGACGTGCAGAGAGGTTGAGTAATTTGCTGAACGTCATATATAATACCATTACTTTGCATCAGAGCAGGAGTTCAGACTCTGCTAATCTGGCACTGGAGTCTGTGCCCTTAACCACAATACAATACTGGCTGCAAAGGCTATGGGCAGACTGGGACAGGGCCATTATTGTCATAACCTTGAAGCTAGACAAGTATCCGTTCATTTGGAATACCATGTAGAACTAAATAATAATATTAGCATTAGTAAACATGCATTGAGCATTTAAGTGTCAGTCATAATACTAAGTCTTTTACTTATGTGGCTTCATTTAACCATCAGAAAATCTCTGGAGTTGGGGAAGTGTCTACAGATGAAGAAACAGAAGTCTTAGTGGCATTAGGTATCTATCATAAGGCCATACAGTTTGGAGTTAGAATTGGAATCCAGATGTCTCTGACTCTAAAACTCTACTGTACTTCCCTGTGACTGCACTCACCTATAGGGGAGACAAATCAGAAGACACAGAAACTTACAATCAACAGCAGGTGAGGGATCAGACACACACACGGAATAGAAAGTGAAGAACTTCAAATTACACTGTAGGGTTCTAATTCTAAAATACTTAAAAGCTCAGACAAAACAAGATCACTGAGAGAAGACTTACAGAAGAGGGCTTCCTGTGGGGGAGGGGAGGGGCAGAGCTGCCCCCCAAAGAAATTTAGGAATAACCAAAATGAAGAAAGAGATAAAGAATAGGTGGAATTGCATAAACTACTGAGGAACACAAAAATGAGTGTTGTGAATACAGAGGAGAGTGAGGAGCTAATTCTGAAAGACTCTGAGGAGTGACATTAGAATGGCAAGGTGGGACCAGAGTGAGTAATAAATAATAGCAGCCCAGCTTTTATGGAGCACTTATTATGGGCCAAGCACTTTGCATGCATCACCTCACTGACTCCTTTTTATGACCCAATGCAGTGGGTACAGCAGTTACCCCCATTCTACAGATAAAGAAGGTGAAACTCAAGAATGTCAAGTCACCCAAGGTCCCACAGCTAGGAGGTGACAGAGCTAGAAGTCAAACCCAGTCATTATAACTCCAGAACTCAGTCTTATCCAAAAGGCCTAAAAGCCAAGCTGAGGAAGCAAAGACCTAGCACAGTGCTATGAACATGAGAGGTACTTAAATGGGTTGAAGGAGAATGAATGAAGTGATAGGCAAATACCTTAGGGCAAATGCTTTTCCAACCTAGGCTCTCACAAGGACTATAACTCCTATTTATTAAATAGTCCCAGGAAGGGACTGGGTGCAGAGGCTTACGCCTGTGATCCCAGCATTTTGGGAGGCTGAAGGGGGCTGATCACTTGAGGTCAACCTGGCCAACGTCATGAAACCCTGTCTCTACTAAAAATAAAAAAAATAAAACAAATTAGCCTGACATCTATGGCGTGCACCTGTAATCTCAGCTACTTAGGAGACTGAGACACGAGAATCGCTTGAACCTGAAAGGTGGAGGTTGCAGTGAGCTGAGATCATGCCACTGCACTCAAGCCTGGGTAACAGAGCGAGACTCCATCTCAAAACAAAAACAAAAACAAAAACAAAAACAAAAACAAAAACAAAAAACAGTTCCAGCAAGTACTTATTATATTAAGTTGCATTTGGTAGATGAAGCTTAGCGTATGGGTATCACTTACCCAATGCCAAAAAGTTTGGTGATGACATGGAGATCCCTACCAGACGGAAAGAAGCTGCTTGCCCAAAAGGCTGGAGTTGCTCATGACTTGCCCAAATTTCCTTTGTTTCCAGTGACTAGGATAGAGCCCACTGTCTCTTCCTTGTATTCCAAAACAGAGGTTACAGGCATAAATCAGTTTCTGTTGGTCCCCATTCTCATCCTTTGTCTTCTGTTTAATTCCCCTAGGTACAGCTTATTGAAAGCATCAGCAGAAAACTTTCTGTCTTGCGGGAGGCCCAGCGAGGGCTGCTAGAGGACATCAATGCCAATTCTGCCCTTGGGGAGGAGGTGGAGGCCAACTTAAAAGCCGTCTGCAAATCCAATGAATTTGAAAAATACCGCTTGTTTGTTGGGGACCTGGACAAAGTGGTCAACCTGTTGCTGTCACTCTCTGGACGACTGGCCCGGGTAGAGAATGCTCTCAATAGCATCGATTCAGAGGCCAACCAGGAGAAGGTAGAGTTGGGGTTTCTGGGGTGTGGGTAGAAGGAAATGCCATTTGTTTCTTTTCAGGGCTCTCTCTTTCAAAAAGTTGGGCTATATGGGAAACAGTAGAGGATAGGGTTAAAAGTGTGTGAGCACTGAGGACAGGCGCGATGGTTCATGCCTGTAATCCCAGCACTTTGGGAGGCCAAAGTGGGCAGATTGCTTCAGTCTAGGAGTTCAAGACCAACCTGGGCAACTTAATGAAACCCCATCTTTACTAAAAACACAAAAATTAACCTGGTGCGGTAGTGCATGCCTATACTCCCAGCTATTCCGGAGGCTGAGGTGGAAGGCTTGCTTGAGCCTGGGAGTTAGAGGCTGCCATGAGTGAAGATTGTACCACTGCACTCCAGCCTGGGTGACAGAGGAAAAAAACAAAAAAGAAACATGAAAAAAGGAAAAATAAGACTGTGAACACTGGCTTTTAAGTGCCCTGAAATTGTTGCTCTACCATTTCTTAGCTATGTGACTGTGGACAACTCACGTAACATTACTCTGCCTCAATCTCGTCATCTATAAAATGGGGTGAACATACTTCCTGCCTTACGGGATTATTGTGAGAATTAAATTAGTTTATGTTAATTACATAAAACAGGGCCTGGGACAGGGTAAACACTGAATCAGTACTAGCTCTGAGTAGTAGTAGTAGCAGCAGCAGTTTTGCCTCACTCAGTGAGGCAAACTCAGCAGTTTTGGAGGGGTAGGTCTCATCAAGTAGTTGATATTAGAAAGCTGTCAGTTTCACAGGTTGAGTCACTATGCATCTATTCCTGAACCAAAATTGCATCACCTTTTCCTATACAAGTGGCTTTGGATATACCTTTGAATCCACAGCAAGAGGCACATATGCATATACATATTCATATATACACAGACACATACACTCACACATATCCATTCACACAGAGACACACACACACCATACAGAAAGCACCTCCACAGTGACAGTTGTTTACCAGATGAAAGGGACACAGGCTGGCTTTGTCCGAGCCTTCCTCCACCCCAAGCCCAGTGGTGGTCCCTACATTGAAGACAGCCTTAAAGAGATGGAAAGAGGTGATTTCACATCCCCTGTCCAGAATTGTTGTCATGTTTACCCTCCTGCTACTGGAAACAAAGGCTTTTGCATGGAAGTGGACTTTAGGGTGGAAAATCTAGGACTGACTAATTAGCAGAATGGATAGCTGCTTTGTGGCAGCATCTCTGGTGGAGTACTACTAGACAGCACTGTTAGACAGATGCCTGGTAATTGAAAGAGTCCTTGATTGGTCTTCTGCTCCCCCAGTTGGTGCTGATAGAGAAGAAGCAGCAGCTGACGGGGCAGTTGGCAGATGCCAAGGAGCTGAAGGAGCACGTGGACCGCCGGGAGAAGTTGGTGTTTGGCATGGTCTCCCGCTACCTGCTTCAGGACCAGCTCCAAGATTACCAGCACTTTGTCAAGATGAAATCTGCTCTCATCATTGAACAGCGAGAGCTGGAGGAGAAGATCAAGCTTGGGGAAGAGCAGCTCAAATGTCTCAGGGAGAGTCTACTCCTGGGGCCCAGCAATTTCTAATTCTGCCAGCAGTCTGCCACAGCATCCCTGCCCAGCCACAGTGGGAAGTGCTTTCAATCTTCTTTGTTAGCAGTTTCTCAGCAAATAGATAGCAATTAGCAGTTTGTTCCAGCCCTCTACCCTGGATGTCTCTCACTGCTCCTTCCTTAACAGTGGTCCTAACCAGCTAGGAGACCTTGGGGAAGCCACAGGCTTCTACCCAAGGGAGCTGCAGCAAGGTGTGATCTTACAACCACACTCTCCTTCCCACAGTTGCCAAGGGCAAGTACTTGCTGCACAGAGAGCCAACTAAGTGCCTTCATTCTGCTTTGTACTAGGACACCAAAGACATCAAGTGCTCATCACCCACCCGTATCATCAACAGCCTCTAAAGGCTCAGAGGGAAGCTTCCTTGCAGTTCTACTCTGCCCCAGGGCTTGTGGCCCAGCCATTTCTCACAGAGAGCTGGCCGCCTTGAGGGCATTCACCTGGCACCAGTTTCACGGCCTCATCCACGCTTTGCAGGGAAAAGCACAGAAGGAGGAATTATACTGAACGAAATGCAAGCAAACGTTGAGTATTCCCAGGTGACCCTTAGGAAGGAACCAGGTTTAAATCCACTCTACCCTCACCTTTCCCAGCAGCAAGTTCAGGGGAAGAGTCCTACTCTTAGCCCTGGCTAGTGTGACCCTCTTCCTGTCCTAAGACTTTGGTCCTACCACCTCTTGTTTCATCTTTCCTTTTCATTGCTGTGGGTTACCCCAGGTGCCTACCCCAGGGCTTCACCATATGGGCCATTAATAGCTCTACTAAAGCTGACTTTTAGATATAGGTTTCATTATTGGGGGAGGTGGTTCTTATTGTTATATTTTAAATGGCATTTTGATTTTATTTATTTTTATGTTTTGATTATTTTTTTCTTTTTAAACTAGTAAGGTGAGAAGAGGGAAGTTGGAGAGGGAAAAGTTAGCCCAGAAGGAAAGCATTTTCTGCAGATCAGCCTGAATCCACCATGGCTAGGTAAGCAGGTACCAATATTGTTCCCACCATAGCTATCAATGTCTAGGAATGAGTTCTCCCCTTGAACTTGGAGCCTTCCTACTGTGGCCTGGCCCCGTGCTTCCCTGAAGCCTAAGTGACTGTGAGTTTAGCATTCCCCAGCAGGGTTCAAGTTTTTCTTACTGAGTTCTCTTTGAAACCAAAGAAATCTCCTGAAACAGAGAAAGGTTCAGCCATTTCTCTACCATCTCCAAGCTATGGGATGAGTAGAGGTGACCTGAGGAGGAACTCCTCTAACTATTGCTTTCTCAGCCTGTGGCCTGGCTAAGGGGAACCAAAACTAAGGTAGCTGGGCGCTCCAGCCAAAGCCAGCTCCCCAGAGCAACTGATGACCCAGCCAGGATCTTAGGCATGCAAACAACTAAAACTGCTGCTGTTGCCAAGGCCCTGACACCAGTAGCTAGTTTCTATGCTGGAAAGGTAGCCCTCAGGTGGACGATGGGAAAAAGGGGGTTATGGTCCAATGCTGCCCTGTTATCCAGCTCAGCTGTTTCTCACTAACTGGGGTCAGTGCTTGGTATCATGCAACCCAGACAAGGCCTGGCATCTCTGCTAGTTACTGCTGAGTTCCTCAGGGTCCTTGAAGGTCAACTGTAGCAGCCGGGATGTCTCCTTCAGCCAAAGAATTTGCCAAGGAAGTTTTGCTGCTGTTACAAATACTTTTCACTAGCTTCCATTTCCTCTTCATTGTATTTGAAAACAATGGGAGAATCTTGGCCAGCAGGGTGTCCTGGGGTGGGGGGTGCGGTAAGCCTTTCTGTGGAGCCCTGGGTTTACTCTTAGTACTGCTGCTGGAAACACTGTTAGAATGGCAACCCTGCCATTTCCCCTCCAGTGGAAGATTCTACTTTATTCAGGAAGGCTGGTGGCTTGCAAGGTCTAGGATTACACAAGCCAGCAAAGATTGAGAAGGTAGGGGAATGCTTTGAATGGAGGCCATAGTTGTTATCTTTTCTTCTGAGCAGGCTCTAGGACAAACAATGAGCAAATTGAGGTGTCCTGTGTTGGCAGGATGAGGCTGATATGTTCCATCATTCTCAGATTTGTTGATTAGAACAACTTTTTGGTAATATGGGCCTATGGAAAGGAATGATCACTTCCTTGGACACTATGGCCATAGTCTTGAGTTTTTCTAGTCAGCATGTGATTGGTTGTATCTTAAGTTTATGATGCCAAAAATACTACTGACTCTTTTATTTTTGTTCTTCATCCCATCTCAAATTAGTTTCTAGAGTTGGAATCAGATCACAAAGATGTTCATTTTCGCATGCAGGGAAAGTTGCCAAAGCACTTAAAAATAACCCCAAAACTATACCTAACAGTGAAGCTTGGTAGATAAAGGTGACCTGCTAAACAGACACTGGCGTGCCACACTCCTGCCAGGGCAGACTCATTGTGTGTGATAGTGCTGCAAAGCTGCCAGTATTACTTGAGATGTAGTGTCTCTCCCCTGTTCTCAGTTCTTGGGCTCAGCCTTCCTCCAAGCCCTGCCAGTGAGTAGCAGTTTGGAAGGCAGGCCAAAGGAGATCCCCCAAGACAGTTATTGGTCTTGACTTCTGCTCTCTCCCTTCAAGTATTTATACAGGCCCTCATGGGTAATAGGCAAGCATGATGATTGATAGAGAAGTCAGTGCATGAGTTACTATCACATGTCCCCCCACTTCCCTGGCCACCTGCAAGGGCTCTGGATAATTGAGTCTCCCTGAGTTCCACAGCTGGAGGCTCAGCCAGGATATAGCCATAAATGCCCAAGTAGAATCCGACAGAATAAGACAGAGATGCTGAAAATAAAGTCCTAGAAAGGAAGAAATTGGAAGCAGAGAAAAGGAGAGAGGGTGAAAAGATGAAAAGCCTCTTTCAAGGTTAGGTTCAGGTTCTGTTTTCTATTTAAACTCATGTGCCAAAAAGCTGCCCAGGCACACCAGAGCCACATTCTGAACCCAAGTCTCCCTGAAGGTGCTGCTCTGCCAGTAGCAGGCCCCAGATGGAAGAAGCTGGTCCCATTTCTGGCCACTTCCACCCATTTGGAGCTTGGTGACTCCCACTGTCTTTGCCAGAGGAGTTGTCTATGCCAATAATATTTCTGCAACAGCATATTATATTATTTGAAGATTAGTAGATCTTTTAGAGGGGAGTGGGGCAGGGGGCAGTTTCTATAGATAAAGAACCAATGTTGGTTGTACCAGCTGTTGGGGGTCATGTATCCCATGTGAAGCTATTCTTTTTCCAAATCTTATTGTTTCTGCATTTGTGTCCTCCACCACTCCCTTCTTGGCTGACATAGATATGCCTGCCAGATTGTCATCAAGGGTCATATTTCAATAAAAGGTGCTAAGGACAAGAAAAAATCTCATGTGTTTTGACTCAGGTGATGGAAGTCTAAAGATTCTGCTGAAAATTCTCCTTCATATGACCGGATCCTTACCCACATCCCTAAACCCTTACTCTGGCCTCTGAGGGATGGTATTAATGATATACCATTCATCATCCCCAGTTAAATAGCAGGATCTGCCATAGCCTTTTTAGAGGAACAGCTTTTAGACATCTGTTTCAAGAGCACACTGAAGAGGGAACACAGAGTTTTAACCACTGGTTATTTCTATTGTTATCACAGTATTGAAGCATAGTATTTTTCTACTTAGAAGGACCTCAAGAACACAGCCCTGCCCTTTAGCTCACTGATATATTTCTTTCTCTCTGGTTAGTCATTGGCAACATCACAACCAGTCTAACCCCATGTTTAGAATGCAGAAAAAGTCAACAATGGTGTAATCTCAGGTATAGACCTAAGCAGTATAGAGTCCAATTGTGGAATCTAGCCTGATTGAAGGTAAGCCACGTTCTTTCTAGACTTCATCTAATCTTGAATTCTTTCTAGTAGTTTTATCTTACTTTTAGCTGATACTCCAATCTCACACCTTCACTCTCAGCTCCCTGGAAAGCAAGGGTCTTGCTGATCTTCTGCTCTCCAAATCAGCCTCAAAGATTAGACTCAAATGTATTCCAGGCAGCAACTCTGACATTGAAAAGCTTTCTTTTTTGTGATCCATATTCTGTTCATATTCCAACTATCCTCCTTCTACTCAAGATATCCAGTGTGGTAGAATAGAAAGAGTGCAGCTTTGGCTTTGGCATTAAAATTAACTGTGTTCAAATCCTGGTTCTGCCACTTATTCAATGAATCTAGGCTACTAGCTTAACTTCTGAAGTCATTTTCTTATCTGTAAAATGGGAACAGTATTATCCAGCTTGCAGAGTTATTGTAACTCAAAAATAATAAATAAAAGCCACTAACAATCCAAGTAGTTATTAGGCAGAATCCCAGGCCCACCCCAAACTCGGTGATAGCAATCTGAATTTTAACTAGATTTCCAGAAGATTCATGTACATATTAGAGTGTGGGAAGTACTGACTTGTCAAAAAAGTATTCAGTACCTGGTAACCATTATTATAGTCCTGATCTACTAAATTCAATTTTTCCTTATCCCAGGCATATTTTTGCTCTTCTCATATTGCTCACAACTACCTGCCTGGATGAATTCAGCAAAGTTGCAGGATACAAGGTTAAAACACAAGATCAAATGAACAATCCTAAAATGTTATTAAGAAAACAGTTCAATTTACATAGCATTAAAAAGCAAAAAAATAGGAATACTTTAACAAAAGAAATGCAAAACTTTTACACTGAAAACTATAAAACATTGTCGAAAGAAATCAGAGCAGATCTAAACAAATGGAAAAGCCCTCCATGTTCATGGATTGGAAGACTTAGTATTGTTAAGATGAAATGTACCTCAAATTGATCTACAGATTTAATCCAGTCCTTATCAGAATTCCAGTGGCTTCCTTGCATAAGTTGACAAGCTGATTCTAAAATTCATGTGGAATTACAAGGGACCCAGAAGAGTCAAAACAATCTTTAAAAAGAACAGAGTTGGAGGGCTCATACATATCAAAACTTACTGCAAAGCTACAGTAATAAGGACAGTGTGGTAAAGGCACAAAGATAGATGTATAAATAAGTGGAATTAAATTGAGAGTCCAGAAATAAATCCTCACATATGTGGCTAGTTAATTTCAACAAGGATGCCAAGAGAAAATGAGGAGAGTATAGTTTTTTAGCAAATGGTGTTGACATAACTGGGTATCTACATGGGAAAAAAATGAAGCTTTCCTTAAATCACATGCAAGAATCAATTCAAAATTGATCATAAAATGTAAGATTTAAAATTATAAAATTCTTAGAAGTAAACATTGTAGTAAGTCTTCCTAATGTCACACACGTGACAATGTCACACACGTCATACAAAAAATATAAATAAATTGGAGTATATCAAAATTAAAAACTTTTGTACTTAAAAGATATCATATCAAAAGAGTGAAAAGAAAAGCAACATAATGAGGGAAAATATTTGCATATCAAATATTTCGAATATAAAAAGGACTCTTACCACTCAATGATAAAAATAACCAATTAAAAATTGGTAACAGATTGTAATAGACATTTCTTCAAAGAAAATATGTGTCTTATATGCTTGGTTTGCTATAACGTACTACCATAGACTGATTGGCTTAAATAACAGACATTTAAACATTTATTTCTCACAGTCCTGGAGACTGGGAAATCTGAGATCAAGGTGCCAGCAGATTCAATGACTTGTGAGGGCCTACTTCCTAGTTTGCAGATAGCTACCTTCTGGCTGTGTCCTCAGGAAAGAAAGGGATCTGGTCTCTTCCCTTTCTTATAAGGGCATCATAATTTCATTATGAAATCACTCGTGATTTAATCTAAACCAATTTACCTCTCAAAGGCCCCACCTCCATATACCATCACATTGGGGATTAGGTCTTCAGCATATGAATTTGGAGAGGACACAAACATTCAGCTTATAGCAATATGCAACTGGCTAGCAGGCACAGGGATAGATGCTCAAGTATTACTATTCATTAGGGAAATGCAAATCAAGACCACAATGAGATACCACTTCATACCCACTAGAACAGCTGTATCAAAAAGCCAAACAATAATAAGTGTTGGTGAGGAAATGAAGAAATTGGAACACTCATACATTGCTGATGGGGATGTAAATTGATGCAATCTCATTGAAAAACAGCTTGGCAGTTTCTACAAATGTTAAACATAGAATTTCCACACGACTTAGCAATTCCATTCCTAGGTATATGCCCAGGAGAATTGAAAACAGGTGTTCAAACAAAAGCATGAACATGAATGTTTAAAGCAGCATTACTCATAATAGCCAAAAAGTGGAAATGACCCAAATGTCTATCTACTGAGGAATTTTATAAACAAACTTTGATATATCCATACAGTAGGGTATTATTTAGCCATAAAAATGGATAAAGTACTGACACATACAACATTGATGAACCTTGAAAATATGCTAAGTGAAAGGAGCCAGTCATAAAAGACCACATATAGTATGATTTCATTTATATGAAATGTCCCAAACAGGCAAATCTATAAAGGTGGAAAGCAGATTAGTAGTTGTCAAGACTGGGGGTTCAGGGGCAATAGGCATGAGGTTTCCTTTGGGGGTGATGAAAATATTATAAAATTAGATTGTCATCATGGTTGCCCAACTCTGTGAATGTACTGGAAACCATTGAAGTATACGTTTTAAACGGGTGCACTAAATGGTATTTGAATTATTTCTCAATGTGTTTTTTTTTAAAGCTATTGATTATTTCTATCAGTCTCATTCCTCTTGACAAAAATCTGAGTTGAGGGTGAGCATGTACTTCATTCCTGAATCCAAAGGGTACAATATTTGTACCATTTGAATTTGGGAGTGACTTTGCTATTGCAACCTTCCCCTTGAAGACCTGGAAGACCCAGCAGCATTAGGAGAAAGAGTAGTCTCTGCCTTGTACTAAGACTTCAGTGAAAATAACAGAGATGGGAGGGACTACTATTGGGAAGCAGGAACAATCTTTCTAGGTAAATATTGTGGTAGAATGGATAAGAACTTCTGTTCATTGGGCAAATAAACCACGTTTTAAATCCTGACTCTACCAACTTACTGTGTCACCTTAATAAGTTACTTGACTTCTCTCAGCCTTCATCTATAAAAGGGGGCTAATAAAGGCCCCATCTCAAAGTGTTACTATGATGATTAAATGAGATAATTCATATGAGCATTTAAAATAATGTCTGTCATGTAGTAGGTGTTTAATAAATGTTAGCTGCTAGATTTATTTTTATTGAGGTGAGATTGAAGTAGAACAATATAAGGAAAAGTAAAGCATCTTCAGCTTTGGAGTCAGATAGCTCTGTTAATGTGACCTCGGAAGTCACTTTATTTATTGAGCCTTAGCAAATAATAAGGATAATAATCCTTCTCTTATGGAGGCAGTTCCAAGCCTGGACACTGAAACTCACACCACATAGAGTTTTGTACTGGCTCCACCACTTATACATTGTGTAACCTTGAGTATGTTTAACTTCCCTGTACCTGGATGTCTTCTTCTGTCTAAAGGTGGAAACAAAAATAATCCTTGGGTTGATGTCAGAAATTATTGAGTTAATCCATGCAAAGTACTTAGGACAATAAATACGCAATGAATGCTACCTTTTATTATAAAGCTAAAGTTGGAATCAAATGAGATCTCTGGTAGAGCTGTTCGTATGGTAGGTTCTCCATAGATGGTGGTTCCTTTCCTTATCTACTCTGTTCTGTGCACCAGGTCAAGACATTTTTGGACCTGCAGATAAAACGTTTCAGCCTTGGGAGCTCCCCACCTTCTGTGAGTAAAATTTTCTGGCAAGCTCAGTACTACCATTTGATGAGAACAATGTAGTCTGTCAGCTGCCTGCCAGATGACTCTCTCTACTCCCAAGAAAACAACCCATTCAGAGCAATAGAGAAAGAACTGTTTTGCGTGTGAACCACTTAAGGTCCAATTTGAGGCTTGTTTAGGGAAAACATCTACTCCTCCTTGAACCTATCTTTAGGCTTGAAGTCCACTTAAATGTTATTGAGTTTCCTACCCTGGGTTAAGCACTTTCACGTATCTTTGCTGACACTATTTTTTCTATCTAAATATACATTTTTAAAACAGAAATCCTCATTTAATCTTTAAAACAGCTCTGTGATTTTTAAACACTTTATTTCATTAAAATTCAGAATTGTAGCATTTTTGCTGTTTGTAAATTAAACAAAATGGATTGTAAGTGTGCAATGCCATTCATTCATTCAACTCATGTGCCAAAAATCTGTTTCGTGGTCCAGGGATTCAGAAGTGGACAAGATAGATAAAGTCCCCACTCTCGTGGGGCTTTTATCCTAATGAAAGAGATAGATAAGTATAAATATACAATTA